TATATAAAATATTTTCTATTTTGTTATTATTATTTTTTATTTCAATCTCAAGATGTTACCCAGGTGGACTTGGGGGCTTCCCATGGTGTCCATAGTTATAGTATCCCTGATGTATTGCGCATTAGGACGCAGCCTCTATAGCTCTGACCGTGTGCTTGGACACGTAAAGGTGTCCAAGTGCTGTGGCCGTACAGCAGCGTCCAGGAAAACAACCTCCTCTGGGGAGCATCAGAAGGATCTGCTGTGTGTGTGTATGCAAGTGTGCAGCCCATCCCTTCGTGCATGGGGAGTCTCGAGCATGTGTCCGTGGCGTAAACTAAGAGGAGCCTTGACCCCAAAATGCCAGCTATTGAGCTTGGCCTACACCCTTGCTCTTGTGTTGTGCTGGTGGCCATGGTGTTGGAGTGGAGCCAGCCACGTTACGGGGGCTTCCTGCCCCCTGGGAGGATTCGGCAGCTGTTCGTGAAGCCCCTCGGCGGGGGTGGGATACGGTGCAGTAAGCATCATTGGAGGCAGCGCAGAGGAAACTCCTTTCCAGTCAAACAAGTAGCTTTGGAGGGAAAAAAAGAGTCTGAGGGTGAAACGTTCTACTCACAGCATTTGCACTGAGTTATTTTAATTTTTATTTATCTCCGAGTAATGTCCAGTTGGGGGGTGAGTCAGCCTGGGATGTGGCCCAGACCACCTCCTTTGCGAGCCTTCAGGGAGGGCAGAGAGCACAGCCAGTGCTCCACAGTGTCTCTTATCAATGCCTCACTATATGCTTTATTTTGCAATTTTTTAAAGACCCTACAAAGCTGATTTTTTTTTCCCCCCTTTTCCTCTCTCTCTAGTTTTGTATGGAGCTGAACCAGCCGACACTGCCAAACATCCGCAAGTGGAAGGGCCCTAGAGGATGTTGGAAGGGTGTTGTTTCCGAAAAACCCTCAGGCCAGCTACACAAGGTACATTAATCCCTAAGTCTGAACTTTGGCTTTGCTTTCCACCCCACCCCCCTCCCTGCTCTAACCAAGGACATATTTTGAATGTTTAAGGTAAAACATTTTGCCAATCTTTTTTGGCAAGTTTTGCATCTCTTGTTTTTTAAGCTGACTGTTCCTATAGCTTTCAATTCAACTGTGCGATTGATTTTTTTGAAAGAATTGTTTTCCTCAGCCTGTGGCACACATGTAAGGAGGAAGGCATGTGTGTTTGGGGGAGGTATGGTGCATAAAAGCAGTATAGAAATGTAGAAGAAAGGCTACACATTAGGACAAGGAACGAGTCCTTGGTTTTGCCCCTGGCAGGCTGCAATACTTCTGAATTTTTTGTGCTAGTCACCTGAGCTTGTTCCCTAGCGCAGCACGGGCTGGCATTTGGAAGGATTCCCCGGGTTCCTAGCTTTCGAGTGAAGACCCAGCAGAGGGGCTGCGCAGCCTGCTGCCATCCTCATCTGGAAGAGGAGCTTATCTCCCACGTTCCCCAAAGTGCTCTGCATGGGTGTTTAAAATGCTGTGGACTCCGTTTGACATCTGCACCGTGCTGCACTGTGCTTTTTCCTGCAGCATCTTCTGCCGTGGGAATATATATATATATATATATATATGTGTGTACTGCAGTGAGGTACTAATTTATAAGGTGGTGACAGCTGCACCTGCTACCCTTGACAATATTCAAGGTATAGCTACGTTAGCCTGGACGCCACTAATGGTGCCCAAAAGCAGTCTCTCCCAAGGGAAATTTCTCTTTTTTTTTTCCCCTTTAAAGGACCTACTGAGTTTTCAGATCAAGGTCCTTCTCGGACTCGAGCCTGTTGTTGCTGATCGGGATCATTGTCATGATGCAGTTATTGCAGCACAGATGTTTCTGTGGGGTAGAAGCAGGCACCAAGACCTGTCATGTAACGAATGGTGCCCAGCAGTGCACAGGGCTGTCTTCATCTTTTCTGAACACTGTCATTATTAAATATGTGGCTGCAGTTGTATCCCATAATCACGCTGCTTAGAATCCACATTTCCTTAATTTGGCTTTTCCAAATTAGGTTGCATCACTGTTCACTGTTTTTGGACTGATGTTTTGGGAAGTGCACCTCCTTTTTTATTGCCCTTCTGAGTAAAACCCAAGATTGAGAAAGAAACCTAAACACCACCTGAGCAGCACAAGGATTGGACTCTAGCTACCACTAGAAAGACACGGAGGGTCTGAATGTATCCAGGGTTTAATACAATTCACACTTAATTCCGGTGCAGAGTGCAAATCCCCTTCAGGACATTTTTTATTCCTGGCTGGCATTTTCCTTTGGGATCTCTTGTTAGGCCAGATCATTAAAACACTGAATTTAAAAAATCGTGCAAAGTTGTCAAAGTTGTTTCGTCCGCTTTTTCTTTCATTGCAACAATTATTAATAATTGTCTCAGAGTTTCTATGTTAAATCCAGAATCTTTAGTCAGTTCTTTCTTGAGCTGTATTTCCAAAGGTAACAAAGTTTTGCCTGTTGGCTGAGTAAATAAAAATCATCATCTAGTTGTTTTACTGGTAGGGATGTAAGGATGAACAGTTCCCAAAATTATGGGAGAAGTCTGTGGCCAAGCTAAGAATAGAAATGTTACCTCCTGATTCTTCCTTTTAGCTGCTTTAACAGAAACCTGACTGTGCTGGAGAACCCTCCACAAAACCAAAAAGTCTCTTCTGCCCCTTGGGTTAGTTAATGAGTCCGTCAGGTTTGAACACAAACGCAATACAATGAAGTAAAACAGTGTGACCCTGAGTATATTGTGTCTTCGGCGCAAGCTGATCTCAGGACGCTCTACAGGGCTAAATAATGCAAAGTGGTGGATGGTGCTTCAAGCTCGTGCTCCCACACGTCCCAGGCATTTGGCCTTCAACCAAGCAATGACTTTTGACCACCATGTTGATGTGAAATCTGGAGCCAGGAAATAGCGAACAGTTGTTGACAGCAGTTCTATTCTTCCACATCTTTTCCTTTAGCAGTTTTCAGTCCTTAGACTTCTGCCTAGTGGAATAATTTTGTCAGTATTTTAAAGGTGAGTTATCTAAAAGAGCTACCAAAGGATTTAAGCCAAACTTAATACTTTCAAAGCTCACAGGAAGTCAGCAGAGCAGGTAACACTTTTTTATTGCAGCTGAAATGGAAGAAACTTCCTTGTAATGGATTTAACTATGATTCACTAAGGGAGGTGGGTTTGAATGATACCAAGGAAAATGGTGTCTGGGTGATGGGAGGAGATGCTGACAGGCTTCAAATTAGATACCACTGCTGGTGCGACCGGGACGGGCAGCTTTCTGAAAATGCCAATTACACATCCCAAAGTAATGAAAAAAAAACCCCATGCAGGGTGATAGAAACAGAGCTGAAAGGAGCAGAGAGCTGAGGGTGAAACATTTGAGCTAGAAAAGAGACAGAGAAGATTGACAAGGCTGAGAGGTCTAGACCAGATTTCATGCCAAGAGACTGAAGGAGCCCGGATATTTTTAGCTAGCGGGAGACAGAAGTCTGTGAGATGGCATACGGCATGGGGAGAAGGAACAACTGCATGCAGCATCGTCTACCACGAGCCCTAGCAGTTGCCCAGTGAGACCACGAGGCACCAAGCTCAGGGTTAGACAAATAATCCTATGGGTAACAAACTACCTCGTTACTGACCACACTCAGAAGAATCCAATGCCTTGCCTGGACTAGGAGGAAACTAGGGCCGTATCAGCCCAAACAGGCGCATCTTCATCTTTCACCCCTGTGGCGATCCTGAATGTGCTCCACCTGTATAAGATCATAGAATCATAGAACGGTTTGGGTTGGAAGGGACCTCAAAGATCATCTGGTTCCCCCCCCCCTGCCACGGGCAGGGACACCCTCCACTAGACCACGTTGCTCAAAGCCTCATCCAACCTGGCCTTGAACACTTCCAGGGATGGGGCATCCACAGCCTCTCTGGGCAACCTGTTCCAGTGCCTCACCACTCTAACAGTAAAGAATTTCTTTCTAACATCTAAATCGACCCTCCTTCAGCTTAAACCCATGACCCCTTGTCCTGTCACTACACTCCCTGATAAACAGTCCCTCACCATCTTTCCTGTAGGCCCCTTCAGGTACTGGAAGGCCGCAATTAGATCTCCCCGGAGCCTTCTTTTCTCCAGGCTGAAAAACAGCTTATTAAATCCTTGGCTGGACCGAGCAGCACTAAAGTTACCTGGGTGTCCGATGACCAGCGTACAGGCACGAGGGGCTGCAAGTAGCAGAGCAATATCTGTTTCAGCTCGGCGCGCTCAGTTTTCAAGTGGGGCTGCCCAGGGAGTGTTCCTCCCGCATCTGGTGGGGCTTTTGGCTGCGGTGCGATAAAGAAGCGTTTCTACTTGTTTCTTTATCTCCTACTGATAACCTAGGATGCTGTTTCTCCTTCACGCTTGTGCACAGCGAGTTGGGCTTCCTGCCCTCAGCAGGCGCCAAGCCCGGATATAAACCTGCATCATCTTTTACTGCCTCTGCATATTTTGGGAGTGATATACACCACTGCCAATACCAACAGTGGTACTGAAACTTGTGGGTGAAAGTTCCACCTACGGGGGATGGATTTGGACAGAATGTTTTGGTTTTACCTTCTTACTATTAGCTTTTCTTTTTTTTTTTTTTTAAATTCCAGGGAGTTGAATATTCTGGCTTCCTCTGGGATACAACAGCTGGCATTGAATTGAAAGATGCTTCATCTCAGGAGAGCACACAGACTAATGGCAATGGGAAGCACTCATATCCTCACCCGTATCTTGCACATTTCAAGGTAACTGCCATTGCGCCAACCAATCCTTGCAGTATTGTGCTTTTATTAAAAAATTTGGGGTAAGAAGCTGGAAAGACACACAGTCTTCTAACAGATAAATATTTGCATGAGACTCTAACCCACCCCATCACTTCAGCACTGTCTCATGGCTTGATTATAGGTCAAGGCCATGAGACATACCCATACAAAGGCCTTTATGGGTCTGGCAGATCACCAGAATCAGTCCTTTCCTTGGCTCCCGTGGGAGCAAACACTGCCGCAAGGCAGCATTCAGGCACATGAGCGTCAGTGGATCTTCGGTAGCATCCACAGCCACTGAGAGTGACAGAAGTCACCAGTCGCCTTGTTCTGCTTTTACCAAATGAACACGGCAAGAACGAGGTGTGTGTCCAGCAGCAGCCAGCCACCGGGCTGTGAACCTTGTCAGTGCCACAAATTGTGAGTGGAGAGGGGTAAGTGTAGTCAAAATGGGTATATAAATATAGAAGGCACAGTGCTTCTGAGAGACTCGGGCTGATCTCTCACGTGCTGCTGGTGTACTGCAGAGTTTCCATTTTTAAAGCTTTTTCACTAGGCTGAACCTGTGTAAAAGAACATCATGCATTTTGGAAACTGTTCGTGTACATACGTTTGAGTGAGCGTACTGTCCCCTTCACACAGGCTGTGATGGAGGGGTCCAGTATGGGGAACTTGGCATCTCTGGTAATGCTTTGAGAGAAGCATTAATAAAATAATTATAGATAAATAAATTATTCTTGATAATAAATATTAATTGTTAGTGTAAACAGGTCAATATTAGGAGCAAGTATTACTTGTGCCACATGACAAAGTGAGTCCCAGAAGGTAAGCAGAAGATTGCAGGGAGCCAACAGCTCCTTTCAAGTTTAGTCTCTGTGATGGGCCAGAGCTAATCAGAAGAGAGTTGTAATTAGCCCATGTAATGACCACAACATTATTTGTAGCTTATTAACAACTGGTTTTGCATAGACTGATTTTCATAAGCAGCCAGCTTCTTTCTGCAGCCGTGATGGAAAGAAGCTGTTTGCTTATGCAAACCATTTTCTCCAGAACTGAAAGGGTATCGGGTTTTTGTGGACAGAGCTGCAAAATGCCTTCCTTGTCTTCCTCCCAAAAACAAGACCAACCAAAACACATCACACACATAGCAAAGTGAGTCCTAGTCACCCAGATTTACTACTGACAATACTGGGAACAGGCGCATGGTTTTGCTTTGTGACCTTCCGTGCCCTGTCTGCATGGCATTGATTTCTCCTCCTTCCTCCCCCAGGTTGGGATGAATGATCTAACGCTGGTGAACCTTCATCTGGCCTTGTCGCCCTCGGCAGGAGAGAATACCGGGAAGAACCACGACAGCCACAAACTAGCAGCCTTTGCACAAACGTTGCAGGAGACTCTGAAAGGTACAGCATTTTTTTTCCTGCCAGCTCTCACATGCACACAGGTCATCTTACCTAATCAAAAGGAATTTAAAAAAAAAAAATCTTATCTCAGTGCAGGTTTCAGAAATACCCTCATCAGCTTTGCATTGTCGTTACTGGTATTTGAATTTGAATGATCCGTAGCATGGCAAATGTGCTTTTCCCCTGCTCATTGTCTATAGTCTCTCCTGATTAACACAAGCAGCACACAGGATCCTACTGGCTTTGACACCATTTTTTCAAATGAAGTTCCTTCTGATTTTATGCTAGTATAGGAGCAAGTTCAGCCAAAAAAAAAAAAAAAAAAGAAAAGATACCAGGGTTAAGACCTTATTTTAAGTGCTTTGTGGAAATGACACCTACGTGATGTCAGAACAAAGCTTAATGGCTTTTTTTCCAAATAAAAAGACTAATATATATTTCCCTGTGGATAATTGGAAGCACTTTGGAAAACCTAGTGCAAATCAGAAGATGACTGCTAACAAGAAAAGAGACTGGCAACCAAATCCTGCTTTGGTACCTGGGTGTAATATGCAGGATAATTGTGCTGTTTTCAAATAAATTGCTCTGGTTTTACACCAGGATGAGGGACACCAGAATTTAGACCTGAACTTAAGCATTGTAATAGTCAGCTGAATTTCTTTACCTCATTTCTGAGAATTTGCTTCTTACTTTGAATCTTGCAAATTAAATTCAGTTTCCTATGAAGCAGAACAGCAGGTTTCAGATTCTAAATGTTGCTGATCTTGTTATAGGAATAGATAAATCTAGCCCTTTGTTTACTGCTGAACAAAGATGCAAAAGGATTACAAGGTTGTATGCGTGATGATTTTAAGCTTGGCCCAGGCTAGTCACTTGGAAACATTAATATCCCTCTTGTGTAACACAAGAAGTATTTGCAGTTTTTATGCATGTTCTATTGTTTTTCCTTTTGAGCTGTAAGAAGTCAGTCAGAGCTATTTTTAAGTGCTACTGATTTAAGTATTTGTCCACACGCCTTGAAATGGGAAAGGCTGGAAGTAAACAAAAGGATCATTTGTTTAATCCCCAAAGGCTGAACTGAGACACAGATAACTGTGTAGCTCTTACGAAATCAACAGAGTTGCATTTCCACTGCATCTAAATTTAGACGGTCAGCATTAGGGCTTCTCTTTATTTCGTGTTTTTATTTTCATATTGTAGACACATTACTGGAGCATGCTTGTTCTTGGCTTAGTCTTTCACACAAGAAGAATTCGGACTCCTCCAAACTTGAGGGATGCGGGTCTTGTTTCCTAAACAAATAGTAGCACACACGTGTTATTCTGAAGTGCTGAATTACCCTGCCAAAATCAATGTCATGCTTAAAATTACCTTCTTCCAAATCAATCCATGAAATATTGGTATTAAAGACTGATTTGTATGTGGGTACTGCAGTAAACTGGAGTTTCTGCTCCCATTTTGCTAACAGACGCCTACTTTGTTATCTTTCATTATTACAAAGAGGCACTTGAGCATCTGAGGAGATTTGGTTACTGTCCAGAGTCTCCTGTAATGTAGAGCGGTAATGTCCCCATATTTCTCCCATCAGACCAGTGGGTCCTGGTTCCCTTTTTCCCCTCTTTCTTTCCCTTTCAGCAGTACCGGAGAGATGCGGTGGCTGTTGGCTGCTCACAGCTGACACTCTGCAGCAGCCCTTCTGCCTTCTCTCAAGCACTCCACCTGTTCATCTTCAGTGTGATGACCGTGGGTGGCACACAGACGCTATTCTGGATGTGCTGGTAGCACTTGGACCCGGGGACTAGGGTGTTGACTTAGTCATCTTCTCCCATCTGGCTTGGCTGTATTCCACAGGTTACCCATGCATCAGGCACTAGGCTTAGAAGACCTTTGAGAGGTGGTAGGGAGCCTCTTGGCAGCCAGTGTACCATCACATCCTTCTCATCATCTGCTTCTCACTCTCTCCAGGAAGGATTTGATGATTTCAGGGTCTGTTTAATTCATGAGGAGACTCATTCGGAGCACGGGGAAGTCAGGGAGAGCGTACTAGAGGTGCCTCTCTGGACTGCCACGAAGCAAATGAGGGTTTCTGGGTTCCTGCAGGAAAGCAGATATTAACACTGCAGACTTTTCTGCAGTCACTGAAAGTCCCTCAGCTGATGGCATTGGCACTCTGGTGCTCAACCACTGCGGCACAGGGCTGAGTTAAGGCAGCGCTTTGCTTGCTTTGCTTTGCTTTGCTGGCCAAGAGCCACCCGCAGACACTGCTAAAAGTCCCTGGTACTTCAGTGAATTTGCAGATGCATTTGCAAACAGACCAGACTTTCTCCTCACCTAAAGGAGTTTTCCATTGACAAGGGCAGGGTTACTTTGAGCTTGATGGGTCTCAGTGCGATAGTGCAGGAGCACCCCGAGAAGTAATGGGAGATATGCCTGTCTGCTGGAGGCTGTCTGCCACCACGCCCCACCAGACAGAGGTTCTGGGTCCTTGTGGGACAGTGTAGTCTGTGGGAGGGACCTTTGCAGCAAAATCCGGGCTGGTGAGGGAGCGCTTGCTGACATATCCTGTGGGAGGAGAAGGACCGGATCGCATCAGCTGAGAAGCCTCTGGCTCAGGCAGCCTCTGCTGCCCAGTCCTGAGGAGGAGGAGGAGTGAGCCCTGCCAATCTGAAGCTCTCATCTCATCATAGAATCATAAAAGGGTTTGGGTTTGCAGGGACCTTAAAGATCATCTAGTTCCATCACAGCACCAGTAGCGTTATCTCCATTTTCTCCTCCCCCCCCCCATCTGATTGTAACTCTGTCCCCCCCCCCCCCCCCCCCCATCTGATTGTAACTCTGGACATCATGACTGCGGTTTTTGATCAGTTCTCATCCCTCGTTATGGGCAAGGGCATGAATTCTTCTGGACCTTTTGCTGAGTTTGGCCAAGAGCTGTTGGGGCTGATCCGTGAGACCCCTGAGAGCTGCAGCTGCTGCGTGGCAGCTCTGCTCCCTGCCTCTGCCGAGGGACCCAGGGGCGACCGATTAGGTGCAGTCACACACCCGGGAGGATCCAGGCAGGTTTGCTTCCTTCCTCCCACTGCTTGATGTCTATCGGAGTCTCGACACACAGACAAGACACAAAACCGCTGTGCTGCCATGCATGGCGTTGCTGTCGCAGGAGCAGGGCTGAGAGCGAGCCAGGACAAGGGGAAATGCAGTTGGTGGTTATCTAGAAATTTGATGTTGCCTGCTTTTCCTGCTTAGCACAGGGCTTCCTGGCCTTTTCCCCAGTGATTTGCAGTCATGGGGAGCCCCAGAAGCTCCTGTGAGAAGGGACCAGAAGCAATCCTTTCCTTCCCCAATGGCAAATTGGGTTTCAACTTCTTTGACATGCCCCAGCCTGTTCTGTCAACTTTACGCTGTGTTATGATTTTATGCTTAGTTATTCTATATGTGGAAATTTAAACGGGTGAAGAATACAGTGATTCCTTCCCTGGGCATGCTGCAGGCTGACTTCTTACCTTCTTCCGAGCACACATCCAGGTGCTGGATCATTTTAGTCTTTGCTGTTTCTAAACAGGCCAGAACAGAGCAGTCAGTTACAAAATTCACTTGTGAGTATGGTTTTTTCAGAGATTTTTCATGTAAGGGAAATAGGCTTGAGGATTTGGTAAAAGAAGTGCGAGTATTTTTAGGATAGGATAGAATAGATTTTGTGCAGGATCAAGATACTGCTGTTAAGATCCCTGCCTCTCTGTCATTATTAAACATCAGCCCCCAAGGATGTGCGCCAGAGGTTTCTGTAATGGCCTTTCCCCACTTAGATGGCCGAGCTGAAAGCATGGAAGGAGCCGAGTGCTGCCTGGGCCATTAAGCAAGCATTAGTCCTGAAGGACCGAGATGGCGCGGTCGTGTTTCAGGCTTCCTGGTCCTGCCAAGCAAGAGATCTTGGGTTTTTGCGATGAGATGCGTGCAAAACCACCAGCTCCCAGCAAGCACTGTCGTCCCATTAGACAAGCACTGATTTTTCTTTTGGGTTCTGATGGAGTTTAAAATAGCTCAGGTTCAGATTTGGGTTTTTTGTTTCTTTTCAAGATGGGAAGGCCACTGTCATGAACACTTTATAGAATAATATTTAAACCTCATCATTTCCAGTATGATTTGTGACTTGCAAAGGGTAGAGAAACCACAATAGTTTCACTCTTTTCATCGCCCCTCTGCATCTTAGCAAGCAGCATGTTTTGAAGTATTTGTTTTTGTAAGTCATATGCTATAAATCTCGCTGCTCTCCTGCCCCTTCCCAATTCATCTTTCATGCAGTGCAGGACAGGAGTGGAATAGATTTTGTTGTTGAACTTGCGCTCCCTCTCCTGGCTAGCTACTTCTACAGCAACAGCACAACATGAGATTTTTTTTTTTTTCCTGTCATGAAGACAGGATATTTTGACGAGCATTTCAAGTCATTCCCTTTGTTTCTTTGAAAATTCAGCCCTAGACAAAACCTAAGACGTCTCAAGTTCAGCAGTATCCCTTCAGCTGGCCAGGCAAAGGAAAGCTGCTGTAGTTAGGGAGTGTCCGTGTGGTTTGTGAACTCATCGTCTGTGATCAGGGTTGCGAGCTGCTCCTCGGGCTTGTTCCTTGGGCTGTCTTAAATGCAGACGGTTAGAACGAGCACTGCACTTTGGGATCCTCTGGTATATAGCAGCATAAGGCTGTGTCTTCCTGGGATCCTCACAAAAGTGTCCTTGACTCTTGTGGCAAATCTATAAAAAGACAATGTCGGGACAAGTTAAAGCCAATCTGTGTTTCTTGAAGAAAAAGAGAAAAATAAGCTTACAAAGTCACAAATTTCTAAAAACCTCTAAGACCAGAACTGTTTGCCTTTGAGTTTGTCACTATCCATGAATAGGAAGCAAAGGATGCCAATATAAATGAGATGATATTTAAAAACAAGCATGAAATGTGTACTGGCTGGCTTTATTATCATGAAGTGAATGGTCATGAGTGAATAGCCAGTGAAAAAGGCTTTAAAGAGTAGTTCTTTCAGGAGTTCAGAGTAAAGTCAGCTTTGCTACTCAGTATTTATATTTTTCTTCCTCCCATTTATCCTCTCTCTCTCTCTCTCCCCCCCGTAATTAAGCGATGGATGTCCATTCCTCCCATTCATTTCTATTTTTCCTGTTTTCTAGGAGAAAAAGATGTGGTCATCCTCGGAGATTTTAACCAAGCCCCGGACAGCAGCGACCATGACATCCTGAGGAAGGAGAAGTTCCATCACTTGGTCCCTTCCAGCACCTTCACCAACATCAGCACAAAGAACCCACAAGGGTCCAAGTCGCTGGATAACATCTGGATCAGTCGGAGCTTGAAAAAAGTTTTCACAGGTAGAGTTGCTTTTTAGTGAGGTCATGTAACCTTCAGTTAGGTTAGTGGCATGTGTCAGATTTGGGCAATATTACTTATCTTTTTCTCTGTGATTCCTTTTCATGCAGGCCACTGGGCTGTTGTGCGAGAAGGTCTTACAAACCCATGGATCCCTGATAACTGGTCCTGGGGTGGAGTGGCTTCAGACCACTGCCCCGTGCTCGCTGAATTTTACCTGGAAAAGGACTGGAACAGGAAGGACACGACGCGGAACGGGAACGGGGTGACGGTTGAACGCAATGACTCCCACGCTAAGCACGAACGATGACGTGAACTTGAGGGTGCCTCTTCTGCTCCCCAGGGAGCCGTCGAAGGCTCCGTTCGCTCGCGGCTCAGCGGCGGAGCAGGACTGCCTCCCCTTCTCCCTCCTTCTCGCTCTCCTCCCCGCGCCTAGAAAGCATCAGCACTTGGTTTTGGTGGCCCTGGCTTTGTGACCCTCCTGGACAGTTGTGGGGTGTCTCATGGCAGCGGAGTAATCTGCAAGTTTTTCTGGGGACACAGTGGACATTTTCATGCCTGGAGATTTGGATGAGAATTGTACAGAAAATAAAGTGTACTTTTAATACTGTACAGGATCTTTGATAAAATGCAGCCAAGCCAGGGCTTTGCTGTGAGTGTGAGGGGGGAGCGATGGTTATTTTCCTTTGCCTCCTTGTAAACTGAGGGAATAAGAGAGCCCCGAAAAAGAGAGACACCGTGGAAGTTCTTACCAAGTTGCAAATGTCGTTCAGCACTTGCAAAAGCTGCTGGAGCTGGTCCCTACATGACCTGAAATGAGACCTGAGTGGTCCCTCCGGGTCAGCCTGGAGAAGGCCGCATTCCACCACAGCCCCGTGTGGATGTGGGCACCTCTCATCCTTCCTTTCCCCTCTACTTATGCTCCTGGCAGGGTGTGTTTTGCCCCAGAAAGGCTTCCAGGAGCTTGACTTTGGCTTTTTGTCTGGCATGCAGCATTCAGTGCTGGTTTTTTGCTACACACCAGCCTTCAGGAGCTGGGAAACCACCAGCTTATCCCTCTGTGGAACCTGGTTCACTTCTCCAGTGCCCTTTGCTCCCTGTTGGGGATCTCGCAGGAACAGCCCTTGTCCTCTGGCCATGCAACTGGCATCAAAGAGGAAATGTAGCCCTGAGTCTTTGCTTAGGAGTCAGTGTTCTGCATTGGGGAGAACTAGGTCATACATTGGTGGGAGGTCTATAGACAAGCCCACATTCAGGTGGTCACTCCAAAGGCTGACGCACGTGTTGCACCGACCTCTACCCATCGATTTTTTAGGGGTTTTCAGTTTCTTCCTCTGGAAGACCAGGTGGTTATGCATCACTTTCCTGAGCTTCGCTGCTGCATAAGCCTGGTCCAGGCATCTCACCAGGGAGTCTGAATACAGTGTATGGTCATCGTGTATATGGCAGGGATGGGGTCTAATTCGAAGGAGCTTTGTTTCTGTGCGTGTCCTGGGTGGGGAGGACTTCAGTCAGCAAGCTGCCACGACAGCACTGGGGATGGAGTGTTAAATTTGCCACCTACATAAAATTTTTCAAGTAGCAATTAATAAACAGTAACCTAGAAGGGAAACATATAAGGACTGGAAAAAGCAATTCAGCATCTGCAAAAGAAATAGGTTGGGTGTGAAAGGTGCTGAGCTGCCCACTAGCCCAGCATCTTCTGCTCCAGGCTGCAGATGATCACACGTTGGGCTACAAAGGGAAAACTACTCCTGACAGCGGTGCCACACCAAAGGAGATGTTGTAACTGAGGGGTTTAGAGCAAAATACTATCATATTCTTGTAGCATTTTACTATATACTGTCTCATTTCAGGTAGCAACAACTGGATAAATTCATGTGCAAACACACACAGTCAAATATTTCAAACAGCTTTTCTGACTATACTCAAAACTAAATCCAGAGTAAGGTGAAATAGTCTGGGTGTGACTCGCAGACTGAGGGAGGTTTCACTGACATTTCAAGAGGTTAAGTGAGTGACTAAGAGTTCAGAGGATCAGACCAAAAATGTATCTTTACTTGCTCAGCATCCCCTGTTGAAAATGGGAGGTGCAGGCATTTGTCCCTGGTCATTAAAGAAGCCAGCGGGAGAGCTTGACTCCAGCTCTCATTTGGGATCCTTGCTGCTGTTTTGTCCTTTTCCACCAGGCACGATTTGAGCGGCACTAGATCTCCCAAGCAACTCTCACTGGACCACTGCAAAATATGGGTGAGGATGCAATAGAGTCCCTTAGTCAAATGAATATCACATGAGGTGAGTGGCAGTAAAACTCCTAAGAACACAATCACTCTCTTGTACCACCTGGTGTTTGGTAGTGTTTCCCTGCTATAAGTATGTTTGGAAGCTGACATTACTTCATAGCTCTAGAAATAAAACTTGAAAGGGCCAGATCCCATTTAATCTGCTGCAGGTGTAAATAAATGCAGAGGCACCAGAGCCTAGAGAAGCACCTGCAGTCTCCTGTGCAGGTGGTGTCTGCAAGCACCAGTGCTCGCAGTTGCAGGAGGGGCCCTTTGACTGATGAGTTGCCTGTTAGCATGGGCTGCCGGTGGGGGAAACGAGCTGAGCTGCTCTCGTAACCCACGTAGGGAAGGTTCATGAGGCTGGTTTGCAGCCCGGAGGTTGCTCAGCCCAGCCTGCTTGGGAGGAAGTGGGGAGCTCTGGAAAGGTGATTACTTGGTGGTCCTACAAGGTCAGAGGATAGAGGAGTTGGATGCCTACAGGTGGAGCTCTGCCTTGCATGGAGCATCAGTATGAGGTACGTGCCTGGTTGCTTCGTGGTGGGAATCGGCAGTGCCTGTCTTGATGGTTTCACTGGTTTTAAAAAGCTTGCTTTGCTTTTTGTGTGCAACATCCTTGGAGGATGATGAGGTGGTTGCAAGCATGATGGATTTTTGAGTTCCCAAGAGCATTTGTCATGTTATGGTGGTTGAGAAGCTGAAGTGGTGGCTGGCCTCCTTCTGTGACTGTGGGAGCAAACCTGAATAGCAATTTTATTTCAAGATGCTTATAGTAGAAGCTGGGCTAGCCCAGGTTTCTGTAGCTGTATTGCCCTGCCAAGCGGGGCAGCATGGAAACAGTGGGTCTTGCAAAAGGCCTGATACAGGCTCTACACCTTGCACGTTTTGGGCTCCCTCAGGAGCCCAGATTTTGTGAGGCTGGGTCCTGCTTCATAAGTAACATCACCAAAGGCTATGGACTGATTCAGTCCAGGTTTATTTTTTCTTCACTGTAGTCACTTCTGGAAGGCAATTCACCTGACCTGTGCACAGTGAAGGGTGGTGGAGCTCTTTCCTGCCCACTGCACATGGACCCTGGCCACTCTCTTATGATTAAATGCTGCCTCTTACCTCCACCTGACACATGCCAGCCTCAGACCTCCCCTGGCCAGGTGATGTGGTGACAGCTGATGCGCAGCCCGTGGTCCCTGCCGTGGCTGTGGCTGGCACGACCCTGCAGCGGTGGCTTCTGCAGGGGAGCTCTGTTCTCCTCCTGGCAGACTCTGAGAGGAGATGCGGCTCCTGGTGGGGTACGGTTGAGTTTTCAAGTTGAGTTTCTACCTTTTAGCATCTGCTGGAATAAAAGCTTAAAGCAGCACCCCGTTCGCCGAGGCTGAGGGGGGGCACCTCTGGTGTTTGGCTTCTCCTCTTTGCTCCCCACAGGAAAGGCTTTTAAAATATTCACAGCCGAATTATTCTTCTTTCCTATTTGTTTTGACCTGTTTGCTTCAGGGCAAAGCCTCTGCTTCGCCCTGCAGGCTTTTTAGGAGGATTTATTTGGCAAATGTCCATTTGGTCACTTGGCTTTGCAGTGTTGTTGCACCAAGCAGTGCTGCAAACTGTCTGAAAAAAGGAGCTGCGATACAGGAGGAATAATTTGGAGAGCTGCTAAAAACCTCCGAGGAGGAAACATAACTAAATAACTGTCCTGGAAATGAATTTCCAAGAACCAGGTTGTGGCAGCAGTGGGTTGAATGAATCCCTGTGCAGCAGGGATGGAAGCTTGATCACACAAGGTAACCAGCCTTGCTCTTGGCGCTCTTGAGCCGGTGCGGGAATCGGTGCTCAGCGTTCCTAGAAAAGGAGAGAAAAGGGTCAGCCCAGGGGATTTCAAAGTTCTCCTAGACGCTTAAATGCCTTCTTTTGAGAATGACTTTATTTTGGTTTTAAAACTAGTGTCTTGAAGGAGTATGCTGGCCATGGGCAGGAGCCAGATGTGATGGGAAGCAGAGCTCCTGGGGCAGCAGCTACTGTTCCCTGGGGACACTTGCAAGCACTTGGAAATTGGGGGGACATGTCCTATATTTAGGTTATGAGCTTTTCCTTAGCTGCAGGAAGCAAGGCAAAGCCACACAGGCGTTTCCTGGCCTTTGACTTTCCAGATACCACACTTTCATACAGAGTTTCTAGATGGGGAAAAAACTTCTTAGGAGGCTTGTGTTCATTTGTTTCTCTGAAGCAAAACGCAAAGTTCTCCCCTATGCAAGGAGTCACATTGACTGCGAAGCAGGGCTGTCGTGGGAAACGTAGCCTGCAGCAGCTTTTTTCATCCTCAGAAAAGATGCAATAGAGATTCCTTGTGAATCCGCTGCTCTCAGGGTGTGACAGAAGCGCCTTGCCAGCAGGCTGCACAGCTCTCGCGGTCACCCCCCAGCAGTTCTGGGCTGTGTCCCACATCCCGCAGAGCAGGACATGATCGCAATTGCAGATGGAGCCCTTGGCTCCTTTGCCCCAGCCTGCGCCGCTGCCTGGCTCCTCTTCTCCTTCACATGGGTTTGGGCTGGGTTTCTTCTCCCTGACCCTGCAAACACTTTAGGAGATAATAAGGCTCAACAGCTTATAACTCTGGAGCCATGTGCACATTCAACCGGACCCTTTTGTCATCAGGTTATAACATAAGAAGAATTTTTGTTTGTTTGTTTGTTTTCTAGGTTTTTAAGTTTTAAGTCATTTTTACCTCCATATCTGGAGGTAATAGAAATCGAGGCTTAGAAATAAGCCTGTCCCACCAGGCTGGGGACCTGCCATTGCTCCTTTCTGTCTGCAGCAGGTAGAGATGTATCAGGCAGGGCTCCGGGTCAGGGAGGTGTGACCAGAGCTGACCACGTTTTTCCCTTCAGAACAGAAGGAAAAGATTTCTTTTGTTCTTGGGACAGTTGAGGACCCAGGAAGGAGCCTCAAAGAGTCGGGAGGGGGTGGTGGAGGGGATGTGTGAGAGATTGCAAATGCATGGGGAGCCGGTGGATAGCAGGAGCATGCCAATGGACTGGCAGGAATGGCGCGGGGGCTCCCTGAAGCGATGCACGTTTAGGATGGATGTAGCTGCAACATGGAAGGTCTTAATTAGGAGAAGGGTGGAGAAATGTCTGAGCAAGCTTGCTGGGAGCTGGTGGAGTGTGGGTCAGAGAGGAGCTGGGAAAGGAGGAAGGATGGAGAGGGGAGAGCAGATGGACAACAGAATCACAGCTGGAGGCTTCTCCACATGGTCCTATGTGTCTGGTGACAAATCTTGCCCAAACCTGGAAAAGCTTCTTTTCTGAAAGTGGTAAAGGAAGATCAAAAATACAGG